GCGGGGGCAGACCCGGTTCCCCAATCTGCTCTGTGATCACTGAAGCATGAAGCGCTTCTCTCAGCCCTTCATGTTTCAGCTGTCAGAAGCTGGCTGAAGTAGCGGGTAAACAGAAGGTGAAGCACATTTCTGTGCTGGGGATACAGGGGAGACATCAGGAGTCTAACAGACCCCTAATGTCTCTATAAAGAGAGCCTTTCACCTCCAAATAATGTCACATAGGGGGTAAAAATAATACAATAAAACATTTAAAAAGTTATATGTAAAAAAGTAGAAAATTATTTTCAAAAAATGTGAAACCAACCCTGCCACCCCCGCCACTTGATTTGAATGAACACATTCACAAAAGGCATGCACATGTATGTAAATGGGGAGGTAGGGAGTTATAAAAAAAATGTCTAAATTGAACAGTGCGATGCACCAGGATCAGCGCGTCATGTGCCTGAGAACACACCTGTGCATTGTAGTGCAGCTGCTGGTGTGAATGCAGCCTACATGGCGGGCATGGTCCAGACATTGACTGAATCACCGTTCTTTCCAGACCATGATTCGGACCTCAACTCAATTAAAATTTTACTTACCGGAACTCCTTGTTTTTTAATTTACTACCCCTGCTATAGAGTGTCATCTGAGTAACAGTTCCAGCCGCAGTCTCAGTGCTTTTGCATGTCTACAAAGGGAGGCTTTTAAAGATAAAAATGTGTCATAAAATACGTTAAAATTACATCTTATGGGAAGATCTTTGTTGAAATGAATGGTCTGACATCAGGATCTCTTTAGATTAAATAGTAAATAGAGTATGTAATTAGAGATGTACAGAAGACCATACAGAAAAGTTGATGCACATTGCTGTTTCAGTTACTGCTGTGCTCTATTTGAGGTGACACCTGTTTGCATGTTAGAATTGTAAAGGAAGCATTAAACTGGCTTATGGTGACCTTATCATTAAAATAAAGTCACCTAACACCAGCTCCTAAGTGCAGACACTATGCAGTGCCAACATATGCTTTTTATTGCGTCTTAATTATCTTCTGTGTGGCCCAGAATCCTCAGACTAGGCTGTACTAGGATACACAGGCTTCAACTTGCCTCAGCTGTTCCAATATTCAGTGCATCACCTCTCCATTGGCTGGTAAAGTATTGGATAGTGGCACACAGGGGCATTCCCAAGTCAGAACCAAGTTGAGACCTCTACAGTATATAAAGAGGGTTTCCCTTTCCAGCACAGAAGACAATTTACAGGCAGTGAAAACTAACAGGGTTATTCACAAAAGGGTGAAGAGTTTGGAGAAGGCAGGAGAAGTGAACAATCTAGGACAACATAGATGATTTGGAAACATTCTCTATTTAGCTCACTTTCCAGTTCAGCTGAATAACCCTGTAAGTATAGGCAATATACAATACATTGCAAATTGGTACAATCTGATGTTAGATATCTAATTAACTCTTAACTAAACAAACAGGTAAATTGAACTCTAGAGAAATAATGACGTGTGTCCAAATTAGTCAATAAATATTCTAAATGTGGACTTTTACATAACATGGCCACATCTGTGTTTCAAATAAAAACACACATCAAGTAGCAAGTGGTGACTGGTGAGACAGACTTTCATCTCCCAAAGTGGTGCTAAGGTGAGAAGATCTCATGTGGTGTTTACAGGCACTACTTCCTCAAGTGCCTACAGCTATGTTTTAATTGGCACGGTAATGACCTTTCATTGAGCCATGGAAGAGGTCCTTTGTTGTGAAAAATAACTATAATTAAGTACTCTTAAAAGACATGACTCTTTGGAGGAAGAGCTTTAACTGAGCAGGAACACACTAATTTTAAGAAGTAAATACACAAACATAGCAATGCAGATGTTCAGCAAACCAGGTTTTCATAATACACTCTAAAATTACATTACCTTCTCATTAAACCTAATAGTGCTTAAAGTTGTGATATTTACTTTTTGAGGTTTGTATATAAAGGTTTATGGTTTGCATAGAAGAAGGTTACAGTTTCAGTTGACAGCCTTAGGCAATACTTTTAGGCAATACCTATTAGCTACTTTAGAAACACAACATCTGTCTTTTGAGGAGACTTCTACATGATCGTTAAGGGTCCAGGCTCCTTAAAAAAGTACAGCTTATTGACATTGGGCAGTAAGAGAAAAATGGATAGAAATAAATGTTTTAATGTACAGTTTAAATATTACATTTCTCAAAGTTGGAATCAAATGATGCACTAATGTGAGTGTTAATATGCTCATGTAATGTATGTGATTGTACATAGGAAATGTTTTGTAGGTTGGGTTTGGGCGGAACTATGGTGAATAATAGTACTGTCCATGTAACATATCAGTGTCCATATTACTTTTTGTTACTCAATGGGCAGTAGTAACATAAGAAGTAGGAGTCAAAGCTAGGTGGGTGCAATTTTTGTCATTTTACTTGCCAGAGTCAATGCCAAAGATTGTTGCCAAGGGTGAAATCCAAAAAGCAGAACAAAGTGGGAGTCAGAGGTTACAGTGACTTCATGCTTGCATGGGTCCAATAAGGCCAGGACAAGCAGAGACTAAGAAACTAGGCTAATTCAAGAAATGCAAATAGGGATGTACCTGTGAGGTAATAACTACCATAACTGGTAACCAGGATAATGGATGAGCTGCAAAGGGAACCCGAGCCAACCAGGACATGCACTTATGTTCAGCTATACGTCTGATTGCACTCTCCAAAATGCCCGCCCCCGCTCAGCTTCCTGTGACAGATCAGGAGAGTGGTGTGGGGGCGGAAACAGCTGTCAGCAGAGATGGCGGTGTGGGGGAGGAGTCAGCTGTCACAGGAGACTGAGCTGTCCTCTCCACACTGCTCACTCAGCCTCCTGTGACAGCAAGTGATCAGTGTTCGCTGACTGCTTGTAAATAATTGAGGACATAGTATGTTTACTGTGTCCCCAATTATGAATGAATAGGAAGTGATCTACATCACTTCCTGTTCATTCATGATTGTGGACATGGTAAACATACTATCTCCACAAGGTATGAATAATCAGGAACACTAAGTATGGAGGCTTTCTGTTCATTTATAACAGCGGATGCAGAAAAATAGATTGAGGACTCCGTGTCCTCAATCTCTTTTTCTATTTTAATAGGGAAATATCAGGGGTCTGTTTAGATCCCTAATATTTCCCCCGAAGCCCCCAACAGCCCCCCACAAATTTCATTTCGGTGCACCTCTACTTTAAACATTGAAAAACTGAGGAATCCATCCATAACTCACTGGTGCTGGTTTT